GCACTCCTGCCCCCCCGTCTCCTCGAACTCTGGCTCGCAGGCAGCGCGACCGCAGTGTTGGAACCCAGACCTGCATGTCCACACGCCTCCGGCTCTCTGTGCAGCTGTGCTATGTTACCTAACTGAGCCAAGTTCAATTAATTTGATATTTTGTCATCACTTCTTCAGCTGCTGAGAGTTACGGTTTTTCAATTTCAGGGATGGAAACAATGAAATCGTCCTTATAAATCAGGTGATTACCTTAATAAAGAGCTTAATGAATGAGGATCTGCTCTCAACGGATTCATCGGGTTAAGTAAAGGATTAGTGTCCTTATTAAGAGCTGGGGTCACAGGTCTGGATTCGGGGAATATCGTGTGTCTCCAAAGCAGATAAAAATAATTAAATACACAGGATTACAACAAAATCCCTCTCTTCCGTCCTCTTCATCTTCCTTCCTCCCTCCTCATCATCATCATCTCTCTCCATCTTCCTTCCTCTCTCTCTCCTCCCTGCCTGAGCCTCGCTCTCAGTACTAAAATGCCAGGGCGTGCCAGGCGCCCTCTCCCCTGTAATGGAGACGTGTATTTTAATCTGTCAGTAGATCGTCTGATAGTCTCCTGGCCCCTGCACTCAGGCAGGAGGCCGATCAGATGGACTGTATTGATCCTTTATAGCAAATGCAATTCTGGAACGATTTGCGAACTGCGTGTCTCTGGGTAAAGGAACTGCCCAGATAAGAGCTCTGCGCTTCTCCCCTGCGCTGGGAGAGAACTATCCAGCCCAAGACAGCGTGACGCTCGGCTGAGATCAGTCCTGAAATGCCAGGAGAAAAAGGCAGGGAGCCAGCGAGCCCGAATGTGCTGCGGATTTACAGGGGCAGCAGCACTGTCCAGAACAGGGCTGGATTTGTACAAACCGCCAGCACATGTATTAGAGAGATGTGAAGAGACATGGTTCGCCAACACTGTCCTCTCTGAGTTAAGGACAAGAGATGAGCTAAAAAAACCTTTAGTCAAAGGCGATGACTGGTTAGTGATTATTCCCTGATTAAACAGAGATTTTCTGCAAATCAGGAAAGTCTCTCGTCTGTCCTCCCCTCCCTCTCTTTCCCCTCCGTCTTCCGCTCTCCTGCTCTTTGTCCTCTCCCTCCCTATCCTCCACTATTCCTCTCTATCCCCCTCTGTTCCCTCTCTCTCCCTCTCTCTTCCTCTCTCTTCCTCTCTCTCTGTGACCTTACACCTCTCTCTCAGACAGCGAATTCATTACTGGACAGGAGAGACCGGGAGGACTCTCCAGCCTTTTTTAAATGTAATCATTGTCTCTCTCCCTCTCTCCCCCACCTTTCTTCTGTCTGCTCCTCCTCCCTCGCTCCCTCTCTCTCTCTCTCTCTCTGACCCCCGACATGAGCCGCAGTGTCCCCTCGCAGTGCCCGCCCACCATACACAGTAAACACTGTCTTAACATCGCAGGACACAGGTTGCGGGTTCCAAGAGATGCCGTTACGTTCTACAATCGTGCTCCCCAAAACTGAAGGAGCAGACGACACGTCTCCCCAAAATACACCCCGACGCTGGCGTGTGCAATCCACCTGTCCTGACGGGCCACTAAACCTGGCAGGCCACGAGGTGTGGCACACCCCTCCACCGAGACATCAGTCTGCAAGGTGGGTGTGTCTCTGCAGCGCCACCTCTTCCAGTAACTCGCAAAAGCTTAAAACCCGTGCGGAACGTGGGCGAGGAAGAGCACCGGGAGAAGGCGTGCTTGCCCTCTGCTCAGGAGGTAGTGGAACATCGATTGACAACATCACACACGTGCACTCGTGCACAAACTCGCGCACACACGTACATGCGCTCACGTGCACTCGTGCACACACGTACACGCGCTCACGTGTGCGCACATGCACACATAAGTGCACTCATTTAAAACCTCTCTCTCATCCCCAATTCGTGGGACACTGCCAGCCGCAGTGCAGGGCTGGACTGAGACCTTGAGAACTGGTTTTGTCAGAGAGCCTGTCACAGACCCCTCCGGGGCTCTGAACGAGCTGCTGGGTAATTAAAGTCCGTAAAGAACAGCAGCTTGTTGTCAAGTTCATGCAAAACTGTATGCAAAGTAGTGGTGAGCTAAAATTGAAGTGCCCTGTCTCTAAGCTTTCGTGGCAACTGAACTCTTAATTAATTAGCCCATAAAATACCATTATCACCTTTTTCATTTGATCTTTTCCAGGTGTTTTGACAATTAGCCAATTTCCATAACATTTTCAAAGGGAGGTGAAACTGCTGCCTACTCAATAGTCCAGAGCAATTAATTGATCAAGTTCGGGGTGGAGGTAGTGGGGTCTCATTCCCATTCCACAGCAGGCTCATCCAGTCCAGGTTTTCACAATCCGTGCACATGGAGCAGAATCACACTGTGTTGACAAACGCGTCTGTCTGTAAAAGCTTTACTCAGAACCGCAGAACAAGCACAGACGATACAACTCCAGGTCCGGGTGTCAGCCAGCACCCAGGAGAGGATGCAGCTCATCGGAAAACCTGGAATGGACGAAATCTCCTCTGCGGTCGGAGTCAGCTGGTTATCCCCACTAAGAAAATAACGTTCCGAGATCCGGAGCGGAGACGGAAGGACAGGGCCTGTCCCGAGAACGCAGTCTGCTGCTCCGGGCCATGTACATTTCTACTGTACAGACATCAATAATTCAATAACAGATACATTTTTAATCGTGGGAGGAAGAGATTTCAGACACAAAGCCGTCCTGCGCCCCGACTGTCTGCGGACTGCCTAGGTACACGGGCTCCAGGAATGGGGATCCCCTAATAACAGGCTCCAGGGAGGGGGATCCCCTCGTAGAGGAAAGACCAGCATTAGGGCTTGGAAAACCCCCCCGCTTTGCCCCCCAGCGCCCTCCCAACCCGGAACGGGACAGTGTAGGAAAAGGGGATCCCGCCGGGCAGGAGGTCGAGTCTGTTCCTGCCGGCCGGTGTCTCAGAGGGGAGATCAGACTCCGAGCTGCACGTCTGCTCCTCGGCTACAAGAGTCACCTGACCGCACATCTGGAACCCCATGGAAAATCAATGCACAACCCCCCCCCCAGGTACCAAGAAATCAAATCGGAATTATCGACGAATTGTTCTGTTCCTCGCTCCGACTTGCGCTCACAGTCGGAGCCACACTCCCCCCCCCCGGGAGACAACATATCCTGCTTCAACACAGACCCTCTCCCAGAAGCGCGGCCACACACCGAGCACAAAACGGAGCAGGCACAAACACAGCAGCGCTGCCTCGTGGGTCATGCAGGGCCAGACGAAGACATCAGTGTGGTGGGTTGAGGCGGGGAGAAGAAAGATGGACTGTGGGGGTGGGGGTGATGGTGGTAGTGGGGTTCAGTACAGCACCCCAGCCAGTTCTTTCAGGCCACGTCCATCCCACAGGAAGATTGCCTTCTCTCTCTCTCGCTCTCTGTGCGTGGCGGCCTCCAGTCCTGCCTCCACCCATCACCGTTCATTATTCTCTTATCTAATTAAGAAGACGCTCATTAAGCTCATTACCGGTCCAGTTAAGCAGTGGGGAGCTGGGCTGGTGCCCCGCAGGCATTGCGGAGAAGTACGGCTGCCTGCCAGACAGACAGACCCGACGTCACCTCAGGACAAGCCGAACCCTCCCCGCGCTGCGCCACCCGAACTGCACCGCGCTTCATTCGCGGATCCGGACCGCTGGGGCAGGCCCCGGTGTCGGAACAGCCGCTCCGAGGCGCCCTGCAGGCGCGGGAGTGACCGAGTCCGAATGAGCCCGTGTGCGGGAGAGCAGGTGGAGAGCAGCCGAGACGCGTTTCCAGCGCTTGTTTCTTTCGTGCGCGAACGCCGAAGGCAGCGACGGGTCTGCGAGCGCTGGGGCTTCCTCTGCCGAACCGCGGTGGGTGTGAGGGTGGGGGCGTTAATGCCAAGGCAGCGGCGAGCCGGACCCGGACGGGAACGAGTGTTTTCCCGGTGTCTCTGCTGCGGCATCCCCCGTCTGCGCGCAGCACGCCCACGCACACGGACACGTTCGCCGTGTGCTGTTTACACTCAGCCCCAGGCGCGCCGACGCGCACACACACACAGACAGACAGGCACTGACACGCCCCGCCAGTCCCGCAGCTAGCACCTCGGCTCAAAGGAGCCGAGCCGAGCCGAGCCGGGGACGGGGACGGGGGGTTCTCGGACCTTCGACACCAAGCGCCTTAGCTGCACACACGTCAGGAAGAATTAATCCACCCCCCCACACACACACACACAAAACAAAATGACATTAGCCATTAGGGAAAAATAAAACCACCACATTGAATATGCTCCCCGGGTCTTTCGGCCGGAAGGGCAGTTGGGAAGAGGGCAGACTGGGGAGACGCCCGCACACGCCCGGGACTGGGCTCGGTCTGTTTGGACGGCTCACGCACCCGCCACGGTGCGAGACCCCCCCCTCCCCTGCGCGAGGGCGCCGGCCGCCCCTCCAGCACAAAAGGGGAAAAAAAAGGGCGAGGAGGCGAGCGCGCGGACCCGCTTCCTCCCTGCCCGTGCGCGTCGCCCGTCGCCCGTCTCGCGTCTCCAGCCCCTTCCGTGCGTTAACGGCGCCCTGGCGGCCGGACCCCCGTTATGCCAGAGGGGGGCCATTCTGCAGAACGCCCGGGGTGGGGGGGCACGTTGGAGGCGCCTGGAGAGACACACGCACCGGGCTGGCAGACGGCACGTCCCCCCCCACACGTACCGGCAGCAGGGCCGGCCACCCCTGCCAGCGGAAGACCGGCAGCCCCCGAGCGCCGCTGCCTTCGTGCTCTTATCACCAGGGAGACGACAGTCCCCGAGACTGACTCGGTGCGAGGCAGGGCTCTTTTGCATCGCCGAGCTACAGCAAGGCGCGGTGCAGTTAGCGGGGGGTGAGGTGTGGAGGAGATTCAGATTGAGCCACCGGAATACACCGTCCCTCAGCGACACCAGCCCCTTGTGCGAAGGACAATAAAAGCAGCAGTCCGCTCTTTTCCTTACCTGAGCAGCGAGAGCGAGGTCTGCCGTCAGCCTGCGGTATCTGTCCGTCCTTCTGTCTCTCCCTCTTCTCGCAATAAATTCTCCTCTCGGCTCTTATTGATGCTGCGGCGATACGATACACACCCCTCTCTCCTTCCCTCCCGCCCGCTCTGATTCGCAGCTGGGTAGCAGTGACATCATCTCTCTCTCTCTCTCTCCGTCTCTCTCCAGTTCTCCTCTATTCCCTCTACACCTCCTCCCTCCCTCTCCCTCATCCCCTCCGCAAAATAAAAGAGGAAATCACTTTAAAATCCGTCCATTCACATCCTCCTCTGTTTGTCTGCTGGGATGAAGCCCCGCGTTTTCTTGTGTGCGTGTGCGACAGCGGGGGTTGCCATTAGAACCCATTACTTCTGGCTATAATGAGCATGAAGCAGGACTGCGCCCCCTAGCGATGCCAGTGTTATTCCCCACACTGGGCTGGGAAGGCAGGAGCAGGGCGGGGCTGGGCGCTGGGTGTGGGGGGTGCGAGCGCGTGGGTGTGTCCGCGTGTGTGCGGCCCGCGTGACGCCGCACTGAATCCTGGAAGCGTCTGTCTGGAGCTGCACGGCCGGGCTGCAGCGGGGTGGCTCGGCGGTGGACCTGTCCGCTCCTGCGTGCTTACGTACGGCTCCGCACGCGTTTGTGCCGTGCGGCCGGGCCGCTCCGCTCAGCACAAAGCACACGTTGCCTGTGTTACGCAGGGGTTTCCTCCTGTGTTGCGCCACCTGCTGTACGAGAGGGGAGTGTGTTTACTGTGATGTAGCAGGTGCACAAGGCCTGGATCGGCCTGGCAGGCCGTGTCGCTGCACTGAGGAGCCAGCCTTGGAGAGCAAGCCGTCAGAAAAATGTAGGAAGGTGTGTGTCACACCCTCTCCTCTCACTATCTCACTGTCCGCTCCCTGTCTCACTCTCTATCCTCTCCCCTCTCACTATTCAATTCAAGGTTCTTTATTGGCATGACCGATGGGTACTATCAGTGTTGCCAAAGCAAACAAAATTAACATGAAACAAAACAAAAAATTAAAGTAAAATAAAATCTTCAGACATTTACAACAAACATTTACATATACTGTTAACATATGGAGCGTCTCACTATCTCACTCTCTATCCTCTCCCTGTCTCACTCTCCTCTCACTATCTTACTCTCCTCTCCCTGTCTCACTCTCATTTCACTATCTCACTGTCTATCCTAACCCTGTCTCACACCCTCTCCTCTCCCTGTCTCACTCTCTCCTCTC